ATACATTTTAGTAATCATGTATTACATGCGTAGAACATTTTAGTAATCATGTATTACATGCTTACATCACAGGCAAACAGTCACAATATACAATTAGACAATCAATATCATCACAACACGTATTAACCTACTAAGCTCTTAATCAGGTAAATAACATACTCACATGTTGTAAAACAAGTTAAGAACTAATTCAAAGATCGATATGCTACTTGGTTTCGAACTCCTTTTCCCTTGGATGTACGTTTAATAGGGCATTTCAACACAATTCCTTCCAATTAGACCTATATTTCACAATTTTTAAAATAAGTATAGACCAATCATGATAGGACAAGTCAAAAGGAGTCGAACAGGACAAACCGGAAGTCAAGGTGATTTCCTTGTCGGGGCACAAGCTTGAGATTAGAGGAACGCTTGTGAAAACTATCAGCGTTAGAAGCTCAAGGGATAAGTAGGCGTTTATTCGAAGGTAAGAAAACCCATATCACTGAACCATGAGTATTTTCAAAAGATTCACCAATTTTAACTCTATTTCCCTATTTTTCTATTTTATTTCATTTCTGTTCTTCATTTTTAATCTCACACCGCAACTCTCTAATTTTCCACCGCTACAACAATCTCTTTAATCCACCTGTCCCTTCCTCCTCATCTCCATCATCCTCTTTTCCCCTTTAATCCACCTGTCCCTTCCTCCTCATCTCCATCGTCCTCTTTTTCCCCTTTAATCCACCTGTCCCTTCCTCCTTTCTCCAGTGCATTACAGCAGCTTCTTTCTTTCTTTTTTAACTAATTCATTTATTTACTTATTTCATAATTACCATAATAATAATAATTATCATTATTATTATTAATATCAACACAAAAACATACCTACCTAAACACATATTATTTTATTTTTGGGTCATTATATATATTTTTCGCCTTGGCTTTGTGCTTTCGTCGAACCTTAGGCGAGGTTTGTCTTCGCCACTCGAACATCTCTTGTGCAGAATCCAAGCTTGTTCGACCACACACGCCGCCTGCGCGTGCATGTTCAATCGTTTGCGATACAATCGACTTGCCTCTACACTAGGCCAAGTCATTTGGCTCGACCTTGCTTCTGCTCAGGGTCAAGGTCTCTTAATGCACTATCGCGTCTCATCTTGTCATCTCGATCTCCATCGACATGGCCCATATGTCTTGACACCATCTCGAGTCTTGAAGTGTCATCGGCCATCACAACTCACTCGGTCATGCCATCGAGAACGAGCCTGCGTGTCACTCATCTCATCGGGACTTCCAGAAAATCCATCCATTCAAGTTCTATCGAGGCATTGGCCCTCCCGTGCCCATGCCATGTCATTTACAGATACCGTGCCGGATAGCGAATGTATATAGCAACATCCAACACGCCGGCTAAGGCGCAATACCAACACACCTGTGTCGTCTGATACTATCCTTAAAAAACTCATTTTAAAAGAAGTTTGGACCTAAAAAGAGTAGGGCAAAAAGTAAATTTTGAACACAAAATAGTAATTAGTGAAAAGAAATGTTAACATTTCAAAATTTTCTTTCAACTATTTTCAACTATTTCCTTTTATTGTTATCAAACTAGCATGGAACTCCAATCACATCAGAGCTAATTAACTAAAATTTTTAATTAATTAATTTTTATTCATTAATTATAGGTCACTCCATCCTAGATTTATAGTCGAATTCCTATACATTTTTGGACAAGTTGTGTCTATGAGTATGATATGAACCAAGAGACATCAATCATACAATATACTTCAATGAAGATGTGAAGAAAAGGTTGTCAAAATTATCAAAAGATGTTTCAATTCATGCTACATTGAAGAAGAATAAAGTTTGATTGTTGTAAATTTTGGGTGGGTTATAATTTAGAGTAATTTAGAGTTATTGTATTTTAAGACTTTTTATTTAATTTCGGTTACATTTGCATAATGGCTAATTATGGCCATAAAGTGTGAATGTTACAACTTTTGTAATTTTCATTTTGAGGCTATATAAAGCCATGTTTGTTGTATTTGTAAGAAAGACTTAGAAGATATATCAAAAGAAGCATTTGTGCTTTTCTTTAGCCAATGGCTAAGTTTCTTTGCAACTCTATGTAGTTTAGGTTGCATGTAGAATCATTCAAGCTCGACATGATCAATCTTGCTTGTGGAGTGATTCGAATCTCAAACAAGTGTTTGAGATATTTGATCAACAAGAATCATTGAAGCTAGACATGATCAATCTTGCTTCTGGAGTGATTCGAATCTCAAACAAAGTGTTCTTGGCTTGAGATATTCGATCGACAAGGTAATCCGAATCTTATTCCCCTTGTGGTTGATTCCTTATCTTATCATTTGGTATCAGAGCTTCAGGCTCAAGATCAGATATATGTTTCCTTTGCGTTTCTTTTCAATTTGATTTTTATTTATTTTCATCTTTTTAGTTTTTAATCGACCCAAAGTTCAAAATTCAATCTTTGCTCTATTTAAAATTTTGAGAGGTGAGAATGAGAGCTTCATTTGTGTAAATGAGTGCAAACAGAGTGGCCTAAAATTCCTTGAGTGTATACACGTGAGAGAGTGTTGTGAGGTCCGTCGTATTTCCATAACTTATTTTTTGCAGCAAAGTTACACAAATAGATTCGAGGACGAATCCTCTTGAAGAAGTGGAGAATGATATGAACCAAGAGACATCAATCATACAATATACTTCAATGAAGATGTGAAGAAAAGGTTGTCAAAATTATCAAAAGATGTTTCAATTCATGCTACATTGAAGAAGAATAAAGTTTTATTGTTGTAAATTTTGGGTGGGTTATAATTTAGAGTTATTGTATTTTAAGACTTTTTATTTAATTTCGGTTACATTTGCATAATGGCTAATTATGGCCATAAAGTGTGAATGTTACAACTTTTGGAATGCCTTTAATAGTTTCATTTTGAGGCTATATAAAGCCATGTTTGTTGTATTTGTAAGAAAGACTTAGAAGATATATCAAAAGAAGCATTTGTGCTTTTCTTTAGCCAATGGCTAAGTTTCTTTGCAACTCTATGTAGTTTAGGTTGCATGTAGAATCATTCAAGCTCGACATGATCAATCTTGCTTGTGGAGTGATTCGAATCTCAAACAAGTGTTTGAGATATTTGATCAACAAGAATCATTGAAGCTAGACATGATCGATCTTGCTTCTGGAGTGATTCGAATCTCAAACAAAGTCTTCTTGGCTTGAGATATTCGATCGACAAGGTAATCCGAATCTTATTCCCCTTATAGTTGATTCCTTATCTTATCAGAGTATAAAACTTATAGGCAAGTGACTTGCCTAATGAATTGTTTGTAATTACAGGTGGTTCACAAGTTAGTTTTACCCCTATAATTACATTTTTCATCTTGAGTACCACTGAATCTCTCATAAAAAATTTATTGAATTGGCTAAAAAAGTCATTTGCACTCGTGGAAATAAAAAAACAAGTCTCCACATACAAGAGTTGTCGAGTCTCATCATCTTTGAGTCCGTAGTTGTCTGCTATTGTGTTTTTTAGAGGGAGGACTTTTGGGCTAAGTTCTTTGTTAACTTCAGGATGAACCCACATAACGGTAGCAAGTGGAAGAAAAAGAAAATGACACAATATCTACCACTCAAACGTGTGAATAAATCTGAAAATATTATTACTCAACGAAACAATAGAAAGTTAGGAATGAAAATATAGAATTGAAATCGAAAGTTCAATCTTTAATGGTTTAAATAGAATACAAAATACCAACTAATAGTTACAAATAATAAAATATAAACTAACTAAATCTAAAAAAATAAAATAAAATATACGGCTCTAAAATATTAATACGAATATATATATATATATATATATATATATATATATATGAAGGATTTATCGATGAGTTTTGGGGGTTTTCTCGACGGCGGCGGTGGAGGAAGTGACAACATGGACGACGGAGAAGGAAGATTCTCGAGGGAAAAAAAAAGGAAAAAAGATAAATAAATAAATATATATATATATATATGCGCAAGGGTCACATGAATGGTCAGCGTTGACCAGTCAAAGGCCAATTTTTTGACCTTTCCTCTTTTTATGGTTTTTAACCCTCTCCGAGTCCGTTTTTCGAGCAATTTTCCCTAATTTTATTCTCTTTGACTTAATTTAGTTGAGGAGTTCGATGGAATTTGGGACTTTTTGGAAGAACCGGAGTGATGCCACTTTAGATTTAGCTATGCTCATAATATGTATGAAAGTAAGATATGAGAAGTTTGTCATCATCGAAACTTGAGCATGAAATGAGTTAGTTTGATGTATGTAACGTTAAATGTTAAGCTGCACGTTTATCGATGAATAAACTGTTGAGCTATGATGTGATCGAAATTGGAAGCATTTCTTTATTACATGTTATAGGAAAGTGATTATACAAGTTTGAGTATAGAACGAGCTGAGATGGCACAAGTCGAATGTCATTATATATGCTTACTAAAATGCGTACGCAAGAGTTAAAGAAATGAATGTACGACTAGGTATCCATGTTTAAATTGCTATGCCATGTCACTATATCATATGTGATTTATGCGGTTATATCGGGACAATAGGGGTTCGCCAACTAGCCCCTAATTGTGAATGTGACTCGATTGTCAGGGGTCCGAATAACCATAGAACTGACTTACGATATTTTATGATTTATGATTGTATCCCGTGGGGACTACCATGAAATTTTCCAGTTAGCTTTCTGTAGTGAGCTTATCACGAGCGACAAGGGTCAACGTTGTACCTTATGAGTTAGTTATGAATATCGTTCATGCATGTAATTTATGTGGTTATATGGGGACAATAGAGGTTCGCCAACTAGCCCCTCATCGTAAACTCGACTCGATTGTCAGGGGTCCGGATAACCATATAACTGACATATGATGTTTTATGATATATGATTTGTGCCCTATGGGGACTTTTAGGAAGTTTGCCAGTTAACTTNTATAGAATACTCACACTTATATTATCGGGTGGAATTCCACCCTTTCTACAATGGCGGGTGAACACAAAAAGGCCATCAGCTTTTCGCTTTCCTTTTCACTTTTCCACTGAATTTCGAGGAGATCATCCACATTCCTCAACTTGAATGGTTACAATATTTAATTAGGGAAGATCCTGACATCAAAATGTTAACCATCTCATCCTTCTCATCTTGATCCCTTCTTCTCTTTCTTCACACCCCGATCCACATTAGCCTTCTTCTCTTCTCAAAATCCATGGCCGATTCCCGCAAGAAGACTATCATCGACACTGACCCTGGCATCGGTAATGTTTTTCATTTCGTTTTTCTCATCGATTATGTTTAACACAGACCTAAATTGCTCCATCTCTATTCATTTCGATCCTAATTGAACCGATTTTTCAAGCCCATCTGGTTGGGGCAGAGTATTTTACTGATGAAGTTAGTTATATATCTGTAGATGATGCTATGGCCATTTTTCTGGCTTTACAATCCCCAGAGTTGGATGTGCTTGGACTAACCACTATTTTTGGGAATGTTTATACTACTCTTTCCACAAGAAATGCCTTGCATCTGGTGAGTCACTTATGAATAGATAAGAATCATACCTTTGCTTAATGTTGTTCATCTCTTGTTTTTCTTTCTCTTACTTTTTGGTTCCCCTTTGCTTGTCTCATCTTAATTTTTGTTGTTTCATCAGTTGGAGATTGCTGGTAGGACTGACATCCCAGTGGCTGAAGGATCGCATGTCACAATAACTGTAAACTCCATTATCTTACATCCACTGCTTCTCGTATCATGTGCTCTACTTGTTTAGTAGAGTTTTGAATTTGATTGTTTGAGTAGGACTTTCTTCTGTCAAGGTGCTTTGTCTAACATCTCTGATTCTCCACTCTTTTGGTTCAACACTAAAAGCTTCCAAGAAAACTCTGTGGCGTCCAAATAGTTAAGGTTGTGAGTGTTGTTTTCAAAATTTGTCTACTTTGATGTGAATGTGGAAATACCAAATTTATGGACATATTCATGCGGGTGAGGAATACTCGAAAATTTTAAACTTCAGAAATTTGATAGTTTCATTGACATTTTGAGATAAACGTTGGCTCTTCATACCCTTTGTATGTGAAAATTTTATGTATTTAATCTGTAAAAGCCTTTGGAATCCATATTTATAGTTAGAATATTACTGTATTATTTTCAACATGATATTTGCCTCATTACTTAGCTAATGCAACACCTAATTATGATTCTCTTTCTCTCATATATGCGAGATGTCTATACAAAAATGTAACTCATTGACGTCTGAATGTTTTCTCTTTTGTCCTTTTTGTTTGTAATGTTTGTTAACTTGATATGTTATTCGTATGAAGAAAGGTACAAAACTTCGTGTTGCTGATTTTGTCCATGGGGCCGATGGACTTGGCAACCAAAATTTTCCACCTCCAAATGGGATTCCGATAGACCAGTCGGCAGCTGCTTTTCTTGTTGAACAGGCAAATCTTTACCCTGGAGAAGTAACAGTTGTGGCTCTAGGACCGCTAACAAATATTGCACTGGTCTGATTCTAAATTCCTAGTAAAAATGTATTTTTCACATTACTTCACTACAATTTACCCACATAAGGTTGATATAGGCTTTGCAATTGGATCCCGGATTTTCAAAGAAAATTGGGAAGATTATTATTCTTGGTGGTGCATTTTTCGTGAATGGAAATGTAAATCCTGCAGCAGAAGCCAATGTAAGTTGCTTCACTCTTTTAATGCGACAACAACTCTTGTGAGTTCATTGCCTGCTTCCCCTGTCACCATTTTTAAGCTTGAAACTGCACTTCTCTATCTTGTGTATCCTACTTTTATGTATCAAAGAGGTTTTGTGGATTTGAATCTACCGCTTTAAAACAGAGGGCTTTATAATGCCAGGAAACAAAATTCATTTTTGCTTTCGTACATTTAAATCTAACAAAATATCTAAAATCCTTGGTAGAAAGCTAAATGTTTATCCATCCTCCATAAATGTTTACTTTTACACCTAAACTTTATTAGTGTTTTATATTTTGATTACAGAAACAATGAACTGTAGGGAAGGGAAAGAGGACATGAAAGTTAAAATGGAATATTTGGAGAAGAATAGATTTTGGGAACAGGTAGAGATGAAAATAGCAAAGAGAATAGACTAAAGTTTTTGAGATTTCACCAAATAGAGTTGTCTGTTTCTGAATCTCAAGAGAATTATTCCAAATTGTGGAGAATACTTGCTTGTTAAAGGAAAATCTTAGAGGTGAAGAGGGTGGATATGGCCGAAATTTTAGTTAAGGAACTTCAATAACTGAAAGTTAAGTATTGAAGCAGCTTAAAGGAACTTCAATACTTGTTAAAGGAACTTCAATAACTGAAAGAGGGTGGATATGGCCGAAATTTTAGGTGGAGAATACTTGTTAAAGGAAAATCTTTGTGAATTATTGAAGCAGCTTAAAGGAACTTCAATAACTGAAAGTGAGTTGATTTGGATATGGCCGAAATTTTAGTTAAGCTTGGTGCAAGGAAGTAGCAGGTACATGCAAAAGAGCTTTTTGTCTGCCTTTTGGAAATTTATGTCTCAAAAAGGTCAATATTATGGTCTGATTGGCCTATATAGAGGGATTCGATTTGGCTGAAAGGCTTCCAAAAAGACGACCTTAGTCTCTATTTTTAAGGACAAGAAAATGTGAACCATTTACCTTTTCATTGATTCTCAAGCAGGAAAATGTGGGAGTCTCTAATTCAAGGCCTCCAGGTTTCTTGGACTCTCAACTTCCTGAAAAAAAAAAAAAAGAAGACCAACATTATTATGTGCTTTGCGGTGGGGGATCGAATAAGAAAGCTGAAATCCTTTGGATCAACTTGGCCAATATTCATTGGGTGTTTTTGGGGGGGATCGAATAAGAAAGCTGAAATCCTTTGGATCAACTTGGCCAATATTCATTGGGTGTTTTTGGAAAAAAGATACCCCACTACTTTATAGGGTTTGTGGAAAAAGGAAACCAGAGAATCTTTGATGTAAATAGAGATTTGTGGTAAGAACTATTTGAAATGATTGGAAAAAGGAAACCAGAGAATCTTTGATGTAAATAGAGATTTGTGGTAAGAACTATTTGAAATGATTAAACATGACCCAGCTTCTTGGTGTGCCCTTTTTTGGTGTTAATCTGTGTATATATATATATTTTTTTCAATGCTGGTCTTTGAAATACTTACTGATTTGTTCCTAGTCCATTAGTATCATGATTAGCTTCATAGAAAGTTATATGAACAATGGACTTTGAGTTAATATATATTTGAGTTTGGAGAAATAGATATTTGGGGATCCTGAAGCTGCAGATATGGTATTCACAAGTGGAGCAGACGTGTTAGTTGTGGGGCTAAATGTCACACATCAAGTCGTCATGACAGGTAATCTTATTTCATGTTATATTCTGATGAGTTAAAAGTAAAAAAATTTTAATGCTCTTCTGCATATTTTGCGTCGATTTGAATATAGAAACATTTCAGCCTATATTTTGGTGATAAGCTTGTTTTGTTCTGTAAATAATGTCAATCAGCTTGTAGAGGACGTGAGTAAGGTTAGGTGTGTTTATAAGTCAATATAATCATGTTTATTTCCCCTTCAATTTGGGTATGCTGTGTTTCACAAAACAATTTAAGAGGCGGATCGTGACAAATTGGGAAGATCAGATGGGAAATTTGCCAAGTATCTCTGCAAAATTTTAGATATTTATTTCTCCTACCACAGGTATGCATATGAAACAAAAGGTGAGGCTACTGAATAAAGTAGGGTCCGTCCACAATAAGTCATCAGATTCAGCCGCACATTGTTTGACTTGTTTGCTGCTGCTGCTGCTAATATGCGTGCAGGGGTTTACCTCCATGATCCAGCAACTGTGGTAGCGGCTGTCGATCCCTCACTTTTCACGTACACAGAGGGCGTAGTTCGAGTCCAGACAACGGGCATCTCAAGAGGACTCACAATTTTGTACAACAATAAGAAAAGGTAAATGTATTTGGGTTACCTATTTCCCCAGCTTACCAGTATTTTGTACAACAATCAGGTAATTGTGGTTAATGTGGAACTAACCAGGTTTGGTGAAGTGAGTGAATGGTGTGATAAACCCACCGTGAAGGTGGCGGTCACAGTGGATGCCCCGGCCGTTTTGAAATTGGTGATGGACCGACTTATCGACTCGTAGAGTATATATAAAAGTTGCAATAAGGAATTCCTTCCATAATATGGAGGAATGGAATGTTTTATATCCCAGGTCTATATTTATAGTCCTTCTTCTCTGTGTTGTTTTTCTTCTGTTATGAATGATTTCGCTTGTGATAATGAGAATGGGTTTAGGATCATTTTGTTTGTCGAGAGTAATATCTCTTGGAAGGCCGTCAGAATTGAATTCTTGGCTTAATAGGTTATACACTGCAACTAAGTAGCAACACAACCTTTTCCTTAGAAGAAGAACACGTACACATCAAAGAATGCACATGCGCATAAGCTAAGTATGAGTGTTTCAAAACAAAATGGTGTATGTATTTTCGAGAAATGAGTTTAAGATGGAAAAAACTTTGGCCCTCCCTATTCTTCTTGTTGGGATGAGCAAAGTTGAACGAAAACTGGAAGCCTCTTTTTGGCTCTCTCAGTGGTGGAACCATAAAGAACCTCAAGGATGTATTGGTCTACATCTCCCCTTGTGGACTTTGTTTCGGGGACAATAGCTTCAATGCTATCATCTTCAGGTGACCAATCAGTGTTCAGGTTGTGTATTGAATTTATTGAATGACCTCTTCTGCTAAGTTCAGTTTTGAAGGTGGTATCGAATGAGTTCGATTGCGTTGTTGTAGCTATTCCTGTTAGTGAATGATTGTTGCGGGACTTGAGACCGTGCGTCAAGTATGGTTCACCAAACTGTAGTAGCAAAGAAATATGCTAAATCTAACATTTTTTTTTATTCCAACAAATTTTGCACTATATTTAATCATCACAGGTCGATCGTACCTTACCTTAGGTTTGGTTTTAAGAGGTAAATGAACAGGCCGAAGCTCCTCCTTTCCATGTGCAAACTGCAAATAGCACATACAAATTACAAAACCCAACTCCATTTATTACAGATCAATGTTTTTCCCAAAAATTTAACGCGCCTGATTGAGAAAATTGTTTGAAGAAAAGTATGCGTACTCCGCATATAAATTGAAGTTATACAGATCGTACCATTACAGTGGGGACAAGATAACTAACCTGGCATTTGTGGCCGAAGCGGCAGCTTCCAGAATCCTCCCAGGAGCGGCAAATGTCCGTTCTGTATTGATTTTTGCTTAACGATGAACCACCGCCGCCTCCGGACTCTAAGGCAGACTTCAATGTCTTCGCTCCTCCATGGACCGAACTGATCAAAATTTCATCCATTACTATCACTTCCTCATGGACCTTCAATGGAGTCCCATAAATTTGTGGAGACCTTACAGGTGTCGTTTCCAAATTCTCTATAGCCGAAAGTGGCGACAAAGACGATCCTCCTCTCCGAGAACCGAAGCTACTGCTTCCGGAAGTGCTGCTAGCGAAGTGGTTGATAATAGAGGAGCGGTAGTTGGCATTGATGACGTCCGCAACCGGAGTAGAAAATGTGTCGCCGACGGATGGTAATTTTCCTACCACAGGAGATCGAGAGCGGAAGTAACTTACGATCGGTGTTGAACGGTCATGCTTCTCGGCGTAACGATCAAGAATTGTTGGAATTTTGGAGTTTGTTTCTTGGTGATAGTGTCCGGTCCCGCCGATTACGAGGTGATTGTCCATCTGAATTTTGATCGGCCGAACCGTAGCGTTTAGGCCTTTGATAGTTGACGCTTTGGAGCTCCTCTTGCCCTGGCGATCTTCCATGAGTCAGGAAAAGAACCTGAAATTTCTGATGAAAATTGATAAACTAATCAAAGGCGATTTTATGCACAGAGAAAAGAAGATCTATCGGCATTTTGAAGTGTTCATTGGCGACGTAGAATTAATGTCCAGGCTCATGTCCCTAATATTTCGAAACAGAGATTTGTTCAATCCTGATGCAGTACTCTCCAAGGAATCGGTGAATTAAACTTACAGAAATAGCGGATGATAAGATTCAGAGGCTAAAACAGAGAACAGAGAAGATCTAACCAGTCATTTCTAGAGAAAATAATTCATTCAAAGTGATAGGATCAAACATGTTAGGGCTCCATTCAAAACGCAAATTAAGATGCACACATTGTGAACAAGTCGTCAATTGAAAGGAAAGTGCAGATCGGTGCAGAGTCCAAAATGGAAAACGTGAAGGCTCAACTTCAATTGGAACTCACACCGGCAGAATACAAAATATCGTGAAGATTGATTTGAAATTGTTGGAGATGGAACAGAACGCAGCCGGAAGAGTGTGGTTTGAGTGCAAGGAAATGAGTAGAAGACGTACCTGGAAAATGAAAATTCGGAGTTGGAATGATTCAGAGATTAGAATCCGCAGGTGAGAGGGTTGGATTGCGAGAGAGAAATTAGCGTCAACATTTGTTGTATGGCGTCGTGTAGGGCAAGAGGACGGAAAATGACGATGGATGCGGAGCTTAAGAGTGGAGTAGGAGCAACATTAGCAAGAAGCAGAATTCAAAACAACATTGCACTACAAATAAATTTTTAAAAATGTGTATATATACCCAACGCTACAAGGACTATGGACTTGCCACGTGGATGCATGTTTTTCTCTTCCCATTTTCTCTTTAATATATATATATATATATATTTATATATGAAATGGTTAATTATTTTAGAAATTACAACAATAAGCCACTCTGATAATATATTAATATTATTTTGTATTAATAAAAACTTTTATCCAATTTTTTTTTAAAATTATAGAAAAGCGGATGATAATATAATAGAATAACAACAATACCATAGTCTACAAGTACATTGCTTATTTAGTATTTTTATCCCGATCCTTTTTTTTTCCATGTGATTGTCGATGTGCGGGAGTCCTTGAGAGCTGCATGATTGTAGAGGAGGTCCTCCCGAGACTTCATTCCTGTCTATGTACCTCAAGCATTTTTTTCATTTATATGAACTTGTACTTCCCTCCCATTCCTCATTTACAATTAAATTTGAATATGGTCTGTTTGTAATCAAATTTTTATTATTTTTAATTTAATGTTGTTTATTTTAAATTGTGTAAAATTGTATGTGTTTTATCTTACTTTTTGACTTTATCTACTTTCCCTTTTGTCTTTTTATGGTCCAAAATTTAAAGCCTAAAAAATTGAGATCGTAAGACTTTATAAAAGAATTTGTGCAGACAATTTTAATCATTTTTAAAACTATTTATCATAAAATATGAGAAAACTAGGGGTGAGAATAGTTAACCTTATCAAATCAAAGTTGTAGTCTATTACATGAGATCATGGTATAATCGACACTGTTTATGGTTATTACTTCATCATAGACTTCATAAGTATAGTCTATATTTAATATAAGTCTATAAATGATAGCAATATATTTGTGATAGACTTTAATCCCAACACATAAACAATTATAATTGCAAGTTTAATTGAAATGTATTTGTGTAGACTTTGTAGTACTCATAAACTTTTATTGAGTTTTGTGGATGAAAAATACTCACCACGTACATATAGAGAGTCAATAAGAAATGAATAGAGAGTCAATAAGAAAGCTTAACTCAACTTGATATTCACACTATTATAGACTTATAGTAGAACTCTTATGCATTGTATGACAAGTTGTGTCTATGAGTATAAACATTATAAACAAGTGACTTGCCTTATAAGTTGATCGTAATTACAGCTAAGTTACAAGTTCGTTTTATTCCTATAATTACATCTTACCCCTTGAGTACCATTCATCCTCTAATGAACAATTTATTTATGATCTAATCCTAAAAAGGTCTTTGTGCCATTTTGCCCTCTCTTCTTCTTAGGTCTGTATTTTTGTGCTTATGCGTTTTTGAGAGGGAGGACTTTTGGGCTAAGTTCTTTGTTAACTTCGGGATAAACCCACAAACGGTAGCAAGGGTCACATGAATGGTCAGCTGACTCAGCGTTGACTAGTCAAAGGTCAATTTTTTTTTTACTTTTCCTCTTTTTATGGTTTTTAACCTATCCGAGTCGATTTTTGGAGCCATTTTCACTCATTTTATTCTCTTGACTTAATTTAGGACATATTTGAGGAATTTGATGGAATTTGAGATTTTTTAGAAGATCCAAACTCGAGCGAAAAGTGTCACACATCCTCAAGTAAGTGGCACCTCAGAACTTTGGATTTAACTAGGCTCATTGTATGTATGAAAGTAGGATATGAGAAGTATGTCATAGAAACTTGAGTATGAAATGAGTTGGATGTATGTAGGAGCACGTTAAATGTTAGGATGCACGTTTATCGACGAATGAACTATTGTACTATGATGTGATCGAAATTGAGAACATTTCTTTATTTTGATATAAAGCATGTTATAGGAAAGTGATTATACAAGTTTGAGTATAGAATGAGCTGAGATGACACAGGTTGAATGTCATTATGTATGCTTACTAAAACGCATACGCAAGAGTTAAAGAAATGAATTTACGACTAGATATCCATATTTAGATCACTATACTATGTCACTATTTCATATGTGATTTATACGTTGTACTGAGATGATAAACAATTGGATCTTCAAGTAATAATATTATTGAATATTTAACTTGACTTTTATTTGCCTAACAAATAACAAACTAACCACAAATTTTACCAACAAGCTAAACTAAATAGCTAAAAGTACTCTAATTATCCAAAAAAAACAATCTCTATTTAACTATTTTCACATAATTAATTTCTTCTGACAATCCCTCCTTGCACTTGTTCTTTTTTATCAAGAATTGGAGTCATAAAAACTCACACCAAATCCGTCACACAATTTCTGAAATGCTTCTAATTTTAGAGGCTTTGTCAACAAATCAACAAGTTGATTTCGGGTACCACAAAATAACAAATTAACGGTTTCTTCTTTTGTAAGATCTCTAAGAAAGTGAAATTTTACTCTCATGTGTTTAGAACGTCCATGTAAAATTGGATTTTGGATAACTTAATAGTTGAAGTATTATCACACATTAGCTTTGTTTCTTCTATTTTTCTTCTATTTGAGAGCGACCAATCTCTTTCCGTATCCTCCTCATCCAAACAGCTTGTCATGCACATAGTC